GCTCAACCAGATGAAGGTAAAGATGTTTAATGCTGTGAAAAAGTGTAAATTTCTACAATTTGATGAACTGGACATTTGTTTATGGATGCACTTGCTCAAAATTCCAACAGGAATGCAAGTATTCTTCATATCAAGGAACAAGCTTGTTTCCTCGGTGTGTTGGGTTGATAGGGACAGGCAATTTAAACATTGACTATCAAAAATGAGGGGGGAGGAGGCTATAAAGTCATGAAGTGGCTGGCTTACAAGCTTTCATGAGTGTACTTAGTTTCAGAATGAGAGGGGTAAGGTAGAATCCCCACTGAATAGTTTTCCTCTTTCCCAAATGGATCTGATAAAAGGGGGCAGGGATTATGGTGATAGGATTTTATGATTCAAGTGTGAGTAATTATAATTCACTGTGATTTTTACAACTGTAATTGTAAAAGTGCCTAAGTAAAAGTGAGGACTAGTTCATCTTTCATTTCAGGAACAGATGAACCCAGGACCATCAAGAAGGAAGAACATGAGTGGAATGGGAGATATCTACCTTGAAAAGAAGCCACAGCTGAGATATTAGCAAAGGCTGTGGCATGGAGAGAAAGCAGTTGTGGGCTCTAGGCCCATGGACTGAGTAAGGCTTGCAGAAAATGCCTTTGGACATTTAAATAAATAAATAAATAAATATATTTTGTTTTGTATGTGTACATCAAATATTTTGCTTTGTTCATTTGTGAAATGTACGATGCAAATGAGAAGCCAGAAGAAGGAAGTAGGATAACTGTTGTTGCAGGGAGGGGATTGTAATCATTGAGTAAAACAAAGTGTATAATTTGCTGAAAGTATGTAAAGCTGATGATCGTGTCTGTAAACCTTCACTCAATTCACAGTAAAAAAGTTAAAAAAAGAGAAATGTCCAGGGACTCTCTTGGTTAAGAGCAGAAGAAGTAATGCACCTCTATACCCTCTGGAAAGACAAACAATAAATTTATGTTACATGCTCATCCAAGTGCTACAGGGTAGCACGGTCGACTAATCTGAGTAGCCAAAAGACCAGAATATCTTTATTTTGGGTCTTAAATCAACTTATTTTATACAAGGTTGATGCCTGGGCCTTGTAAGTTATTCCTTATCCAAACTCCTCATTTTACACAAGATGAAAACAAGACCCAGGGAGGTTAAATGATTTGTCCGAGTTCCACCGACAATTTTACCTTTGAGCACGATACGACCAGATGCTTCAACACATTTGTGGAAAAATAGAACTAAAAGATAATGAAATTTTGCCACAAACGTTGTGAAGCCCCCCTCATATATCTGGGAACTGATAACCACCGAGAGTGAGTGAATGCTTTTATTGAACATTACGTTGTTTGCAAAAAACAAGACAAAAACTCCTGGCTGGAGTGTGGTCATCTCCGTTGTCTTTTTGGAGAAGGGAGTTGGCAGTGGTGGTTAGGTGCTGTGGAGTCGGTTCCAACTCATAGCAACCCTGTACAAGGTTACCGAGACTGTAAATCTTTATGGGAGCAGAACGCCTCATCTTTCTCCCGCGGAACAGCTGGTAGTTTCGAACTGCTGACCTTGAAGTTCGCAGCCCGATTCATAACCACTACGCTACCAGAAACAGTGAAAGAGCAGGTACGAGTTGCGGGGTAGTGTTGCCCAAGACCAAGAAATGAAAAGTCCTGGCAAGAGTGTGGTCATCTCCAATGTCTTTTTGGAGGAGTTGGCAGTAGGGATCCGTAAATCCGAGAATGCAGTGTAGACACTAGTCAGACCGCCCAGCTATTATTCACACCTACGCAAGCACAAACGTCTCGTCCCCAGGGTTCCACTGCGCGGAGGGGGAAGCCACCGAGTGAGGGACTCAAGTCCCCTCCAGACGCGCGAATCCTACCTTCTCGGACGGCGCCTTGGCAACCGAGGGACTGCAGAACACGAATCTGGAAGGGGCAGAGAAGTTCCCGGGTTTAGGCGCCGGACTCGGGGAATCCCAGGTGAGGGCTGGGTCGTATTGAACGCGGCACGTCTTACCCGCTGGTGCTTCCTTCACGCCGACCACCCGAAGGGCTGACCCCGAAAGTAGACACAGCTCCCGGCTCCCGTGGAGTTCCGAGGGTGGAACTAGGGACGCCGTGTCACCATGGAGACGGAACCGCGCGCAGACGGAGTCCAAACAGCCGAGGAGAGGTGGAGCGGGGGCGGGAGGATCCCCGAAGGGGAGGGGAGGGGCGAGCCTCGGAAGCGGAGGGGCGGGGCGAATGGGGCGTGTCGGCGGCCGGGCGAGTTCCGGGAGTCCCGTCTGAGCTGGGCTTGGTGTCAGGGCCCTTCGAGGCGTCCGGGCAGAGAAGAGTCCGGTGGTCTTGGAAGTTCCGCAGGGTTGACACTTGGGAATATAAATCCTTGGACGTACGTGCGCAGGCGCGCCGATTACTTCCAGAAGGACCGACGGGAACGAGAGTGGAATGTCAGTGCCCATACCTGCTCCTATTGCCAAGGAAAAGAACAGGCGCAGGGTCACCACGTTAGCGTTTTAAACTTGTACAGTAAAAAGGGAAGACTTTGTTGGGGCAAGGTGTCCTTTGGGTGTGGACGAACGAATGTACCCTGCAGGGACTGGCTCCCCAACCTGAGGTAGTTCCAAGAGGATCAGTCGATTTCCTGGAGTCAGGATGGGGAAGTCTCTGGACCCCAGTTTTCCTAGAAATCAGATTCGAGTGATTGGAATCAGAGAACCGCCTCAGCCACCGTCCCGGGACAGGTCTGGACTCCCTTTCACCCAGGGACCGCTAATCCTCTGGCTGAGAACGTGAAATTGACATCCACCAATGTTGCTTAATCAAATTGCTTTGGTCATAAAAGGGAGGGGGCGGGGAAGAGCTTTTCTATTAGAAAATTCTAATTGCCACTCAGACTTGACTTCTAGGAAGAAATTGGTTGTTTTTCCCTACTTAGGGTGAGGAGTCACTATAGTCAATTTGTTCTTAGGCAACATGTTTTGTATGGAGCCCTTTCTTTGATATAAAACCTGGATTCAAATTTCCTGGAGTCCTAGTGTGGCGCTGTAGGATAAGCGCTCAACCACAAGGTCGGGAAGAATTGGAACCAGCTTGAGGGAACTTAACAACAGCCACATGATAT